CATCTGACTGACAGAACACTGAGAGGATGTGATTTATGTGTGCAGAAGAACACAGCTGGAGGGCCATTTGACTGTAATTACTTGGGGTTTTATTACTCTCCTTGCAAATGAAAAGTGTGAAGATGTGCAAGTGCCAATTGTTTCCAATTACTTGAAATAGTTTCTGTTAATATCCAACTCCTTTCTGCAATTTGATTGCCAAATACAAAGGGAAATTTCCAGATTATTGTATAGAATGTTAAGGTGGCCAAGCATGGGGGCTCACACCTATAATTCCAGCATGTTGGGAGGCCAAGGTAGGAGCATTGCTTGAGCCCAGGCATTCAAGACCAGCTTGGGCATACAAAGAGAGACCCCATGTCTACAAAAAAAAAAATCAAAAGTAGCCAGGTGTAGTGAAGTCCGCCTGTAGACTTAGCTATTCAGATGGCTGAGGTGGGAGGATTGCTTGAGCTCAGGAGGATGAGGCTACAGTGAGCCATGATCATGCCACTGCACTCCAACCTGGGAGACAGAATGAGACTCTCTCTCAAAACAAAGAAACAAACAAAAAGGCCGGAAGCAGTGGCTCATGCCTGTAACCCTAGCACTTTGGGAGTCCGAGGCGGGTGGATCGCCTGAGGTCAAGAGTTGAAGACCAGCCTGGCCAACATGAAACCTTTTTCTACTAAAAACACAAAAATTAGCTAGGTGTGGTGGCTGGCACCTGTAATCCCAGCTACTTGGGAGGCTGAAGCAGGAGAATTGCTTGAACCCAGGAGACAGAGATTGCAGTGAGCCAAGACTGCGCCGTTGGACTCCAACCTGGGCAACAGAGTAAAAACTCCATCTCAAACAAACAAAAATAACAATGACAACAAAAATATATATCTTTATATATATTGGTTAAGCTGTGTATATATATATAAACACACACATATATATAGGTTAATGAAACAATTACATGCTTGAGATATGATCATCAGAACAGATACCTGAATTCAAATAGGACAGTATGTGTTACATCTTTGATGCTCAATGTAATATTAATAACAATTGAATAAATAAATAGCCACATAGAAAACACAACATACCTTTATACAAATAACAGTTTATTGAGATAACTAGATATGTAAAGTCTTCTTGACAGACATAAACAGTAAGAGGAAAAACCACAAATCAAATCAAACTTTTTAAAAATATTTTTCTTCTTCTTTTTTTTTTTGAGATGGAGTCTCGCTTGCTTTGTCATCCAGTGCAATGGCGTGATCTTGGCTCACTGCAACCTCTGCCTCCCAGGTTCAAGTGATTCTTCTGCCTCAGCCTCTTGAATATCTGGGAATATAGTCAAATGCCACCATGCCCTGCAAATTTTTGTATTTTTAGTAGAGACAGAGTTTCACCATAATGGCTGGGCTGGTCTTGAACTCCTGACCTATGATCCACTTGCCTCAGCCTCCAAAAGTGCTGGGATTACAGGCATGAGCCACCACGCCTGGCCTCTTGTCTAATTTTTGTTTGGTAAGCTTGAGTTCAGTTATCAAAACCAAACTTTTTGTTTAACTCATTTTCTCTCCTGACCAATAAAAAAAAAGTAGAAAAATAAAATAAAATTGGAAATATTCTCTACCTATTAGTCTATGTCCTTTTAATGGACACAAAAAAATGGAACACACATTTGGTTATAGCAGACTGTTGACCTGTTTAACTAAGGGGGGAGTTTGATTTTGTTAATAAGACCTTGTGTGAATCCAGGAGTGTTGGAGTTCTTCAACTTGAAGATGTTTAAAAACAAGAAATAGCAACAAATCTTCAAGTTACTTCTGCTTTTTAGGTTGAATTGCAGTGGTGCTGTCGGCTCACTGTCTGAGTAGTTAGCTACTTTAGACAGCTTGTACCAAGTGAGTGAACATCCTGAGAAAATTCAACATTATCATAGAATCTCAGGATTGGAAAATATCTTCCACGCCAATGAATAGCCTGCAGGTACTTGTAAATAAGTTGTTTAGTGATCTAGGTGCTTGTTTAACTATTATATCAAAGTATAATCTAAACAGGTAACACAGCATTTGGCCAAGTAATTCATAGTGTTTAGAAATTTACCTATAGAGGACTTGGCCCTGGGAAATGATTGACTTGAATCTACTTGACTTTAGAAATTTAGGAATCTCAGAAGGCCATGTGATTATGCATTGGCATATACCATCCCTGTTCTTTGTCACCTCACCACTTCCATTGGCTCAAATCCTTGCAGCACATGTGGGTTTAGGGATTTTACATATAGAAGATGGACCAGCTTAGTATTTTTGCCTGATTTAGTTCTCTTATGTTACATCTTTCACATTGGAAATAGAGCAAATGGGACTATTTGCTGGTAACAGTGTTAGAAGACTGGGGGGAAAATAAATGACTCCTAGCTCCTATCAGTGCACATTTATATATAATTTAAATAAATGAGTTAGTGACATTCCATATGCAGCAGATGAAGCCCATCATTCTTATGCTTGTTGTGCAGTCCCTTCCTGGAGAGTTTCTATTTCCTAGAGCTGATTTTTTCTTTTTTTAATCTAGTAGATGCTCAAAAGCCTAGTCAGACAGACTAACAAGAAGTGAATACAGTTTCTAAGGTAGGAATTTTCTATTAATATATAAGGGGTTTCTCACTAATCCATGGTTTTACTCATATCAAAAACATGGAGCCAGCAAAGTCCCTTCTGTGAAAGAGTTTGCCAATGGACTCAACCCAAGTGCCAGTGGGTGTGCTCGTTCATTCACACAGAGCATTGATCAAGAGGAGATTCTTTTCCTGCGAATACTACAGTGATGTCCAAACTGAGTAATCAAGATGCCTTATAAAAGAAAACCAAAACCAAAACCACCCTCCTAGTAGTTTAAAGATCCAATGTAAAGACAGTACTATTTTATTCCGTAAAAAAATTTTTTCCACTGTAAACTTATTACCACAAAAGCAGTGATTTGTAAGAAGAAGTGCCGTTTTCTTTTTTTCTTTTTTTTTCTTTGAGATGGAGTCTTGCTGTGTCCCCAGGCTGGAGTGCAGTGGTGCTATCGCAGCTCATTGCAACCTCCGCCTCCCGAGGTCAAGTGTTTCTCCTGCCTCAACCTCCAGAGTAGCTGGTACTACAGGTGCATGCCACCACACTCAGCTATTTTTGTTTGTTTGTTTTTTTAGTGGAGACAGGGTTTCACCATGTCAGATATAATTATCTTGATCTCCTGACCTCGTGATCTGCCCGCCTCAGCCTCCCAAAGTGTGGTATTACAGGTGTGAGCCACCGTGCCCAGCCTGTTTTCGTTTTTTAACCAGGCTTTCCATATGAAATTGATGAACACTTGGTTATGCTTTGAACCTCCACTATGGTTATTATTACCCTAATGGAATTTAGGAACTCATATCCTATTCCCATTTCCTAAAGAACTGTAAATGTGCTTGCTAAGACAGAATGAACCCTCCCAAAAAGAGTTTATTCTACAGGAATGAAATGAGCAACTCTGAATGGAACTTGGTTACAGAAGAGATAAGCTGCTTCCTAGAATAGGCATAATACTACCAAGAAGACGGAATGAGAGAACACAAATAATGGTTGATCTAAGAATTTGCAGTTGAAGTTGAGACAAACCAAGCCATCTTCCCAACTCTTCCACTGCTCAGGAGCGATACCAATGTCATATTCATTTAATGAAGCACTAGGAATCATGAAACTAAGTTGTATTTTGGAAAAAAGGAATCAAAAGTCTCTCCCTCATTAAAGATACCAAAAAGATAATTTAAAATAAATATTCTATTTGACTTTGTATTAATCTTTTTTCATGCTGCTGATAAAAACATATCAAAGACTGGCCAATTTACAAAAGAAAGAGGTTTAATGGAGAGCTCACTAATGCAAATTTCTGCAGTAGTTTTAGTTTCTCCTCAGACAATAAGGTTTTCTTTTCTATTGCATTGTCAGGCTGCAAATTTTACAAACTTTTATGCTCTGTTTCTTTTTTAAATCTCAATGCCTTTAACAACACCCAAGTCTCCTGTTGAATGCTTTGCTGCTTGGAAATTTCTTCCCCCAGATACTCTAAATCATCTCTCTCAAGTTCAAAGTTCTACAATCTGTAAGGCAGGGACGAAATGCCACCAAGTCTCTTTGCTAAAACAGAACAAAAGTCACCTTTGCTCCAGTTCCCAGCAAGTTCCTTACCTCCATCTGAGACCACCTCAGCCTGGACTTTATTGTTCATATCACTAAGCATTTTCGTTAAAGCCATTCAACAAGTCTCTAGGAAGTTCCAAACTTTCCCACATTTTCTTATCTTCTTCTGAGCCCTCCAAACCGTTCCAACCTCTGCCTGTTACCCAGTTCTAAAGTCATTTTCATATTTTTGGGTATCTTTTCAGCAACACCCCATTCTACTCGTGCCAATTTAGTGTATTAGTCCACTTTCACACTGCTGATAAAGACATACCCAAGACAGGGCAATTTACAAAAGAAAGAGGTTTAGTGGAGAACAGTTCTATGTGGCTGGGGACGCCTCACAATCATAGCAGAAGGCAAGGAGGAACAAGCCATATCTTACATGGATGGCAGCAGGCAAAGAGAGCTTGTGCAGGCAAACTCCCATTTTTAAAGTCATCAGATCTCTTGAAACTTATTCACTATCATGAGAACATCATGGGAAAGACCCACCCCCATGAGTCAATTACCTCCCACTGGGTTCCTCCCATAACACATGGGAATTGCAGGAGCCACATGGTGAGATTTGGGTGGGGACACAGGGCCAAACCATATCAGATTTATTTTCAAACCACATCAGATTTTATTTTATTTGAAATAAAATTTTAGGCAAATGTGCTTCCATTTTCTTAAAAACAAATGCAAGATGCTTTTTAAAGAAATTATTTACATGTATTCCAATGGGTGTACATATTTTGTTACCATAAAAAGGCAATGTACATATATGCTTGTATATGAAGAAGAAACAGATCATAGGCTACATGTAAAAATGATAAAGGGCTGCAGCCAATTAAGCTGTTGGAGTTCCTTTCCTCATGGGGGCCTGGTGTGCAATGGCTGTGAACAGCTGCTTCTTTGGTAGTGTTTGCAGCCTGTTATTGTATGAGTGGCTCTAAGGGACCTGGAGACAGGCCTTTCCAATGTATGTTCATGTCTCTGACCTTGCACTACCATCAATGTAGGCTCCAAACAGGTATTTGAGATGCGTTTGTGAAAGCCCTAGGGCACTGTGGCCAGGGTTCACATTGGCCAAGTCATCATGTATATCCGCATGGAGCCGCAGAACAAGGAGCACTCCCCACAAAGGGAAGCCTGTCAGACTCACAGCAGATCTCTCAGCAGAAACCCTACAAGCCAGAAGAGAGTGGGGGCCAATATTCAACATCCTTAAAGAAAAGAACTTTCAACCCAGAATTTCACATCCAGCCAAACTAAGCTTCATAAGTGAAGGAAAAATAAAATCTTTTGTGAACAAGCAGGTATTCAGAGATTTCATCCCCACCAGGCCTGCTTTACAAAAGCTTCTGAAAGAACCACTACAAATAGAAAGGAACAACCAGTATCAGCCTTTCCAAAAATATACCGAAAAGTAAAGAGCATCAACATAATAAAGAATTTACTTCAACTAATGGGCAAAACAGCCAGCTAACATCAAATAGCAGTATTAAACTCACATATATTATTATTAATCCTAAATTTAAATCGACTAAATCCCCCAATCAAAAGACACATCCAAAACCCATCAGTATGTTGCATCCAGACCCATCTCACATGCAAGGATACACAAAGACTCAAAACAAAGGAATGGAGAAAGATTTATCAACGAAATGTAGAGCAAAAATAAATAAATAAAAAGCAGGAGTTGCAATTCTCGCCTCTGATAAAATAAACTTTAAAGCAACAAAGATCAAAAGAGGCAAAGAAGGACACTACATAATGGTAAAAGGATCAATGCAACAAGAAGAGCTAATGATTCTAAATATATACACACCCAATACAGGAACACCCAGATACATAAGACTTATAGAGAGACTTAGACTCCCACACAATAATAACGGGAGACTTCAACATCAATATTAGACAGATCAACGAGACAGAAAATTAACAAGGATATCCAGGACTTGAACTCAGATCCGGAACAAGTAAACTTAATAAACATTTATAGAACTCTCCACTTTAAATACACAAAATATACACTCTTATCAGCACCACATCACACCTACTTACAGGTTTAAATTGAAATATTGGTTGGCTGCTTGTTTGTTATTTTCTTCCCTCATTTTTTCCTGTCTCCATTATTAAGTACAATTATTGGTATAAAAGAAGTTTTCAATGCCCAATTTTAGACTGCATTCTAGCCTAGGCAATAAAGCAACACTTCTGTTCTCTCTCCCTCTTCCTCTTCCTCTTTCTTCTTCTCCTTCATTCTTTTTTTTTCTTTCTTTCTCTCTTTCTTTCTTCCATCTTTCTTTTTAAAAAAAAAAAAAAAGAGCATGTGATTGAGGCCCTACACAAGGCCAAGTTCAGGATCCCTGGATGTCAGAAGATGTACTTCTCAAAGAAGTGGGACTTTACCCAGTTCAATGTGGATGAATTTGAAGACATGGTGGCTGAGAAGTGGCTTATTCCAGATGGCTGTGGGGTCAAGTACACCCCCAATCCTGGCCCTCTGGATAAGTGGTGGGCCCTGCACTCATCAGGGCCTGTATTATACTGCATCCTCCTACTGCCCACCAATAAATCCTACTTTTTGTCTACCTTTTAAAAAAATGATAAAGGGTATTCACCTTGGGAGTGAGAATAGGGCCGGTGTGAAAGTGAGTTTTTACTTCTCACTTGAAATATTCCGTGTTTAAAAAACTGTTTGCCTGAAGTGGGGATCATTTTCATAACAATTACATTTCAAAAAATATTTCACTGTGTGTCTAATCTGTGCAAGAGGAGAATGCAGAGGAGGAAGGCATTAGAACCACATGAGGGGACAGTGGGTTCCCAGTTTGTTTGACTGCAGAAAGCCATTACTTATCGTGTTTTGCTAATAAACACCATATGAAGATTACTTCTGACATGTAATCTCTTAATTACAGATACACAAAAAAGGCCAGTCATTAATCTCCCCAAATTGGAAGCAACCAAGATGTCCTTCAGTGTGTGAATGGATAAGCAAACTATGGTGCATTCAGATAACAGAATATTACTCAGCACTAAGAAGAAATGAGCTATCAGCCCTGAAAAGATGTGGAGGATATTACAGTCATATTACTAAATGAAAGAAGCCAGTCAGAAATGGCTACAAACATACAATTCCAACCACAGAGACAGTAAAAAGATCAGTGATTACCAGAGGTTGGGGAAGGGGTGAAAGAGGTAAGATGGATAGGTGGAGAACAGGGGAATTTTAGCTCAGTGGAGCTAGTTCTGTAATAATGGATACAGGACATTATGCATTTGTCAAAATCCATATAATTGTACAATACAAAGAGTGAATTTTAATGTATACCATGGATTCAATTAATAACAATGTATCCACATTGATTTGTCAATTGTAATAAATGTACTACATTAATGCAAGATGGTAACAGCCTAACTGTTGGGCAGAGAGAGGATGCATGGGAGCTTTCTGGACTTTCTGCTCAGCTTTTCTGGGAACCCAAAGCTGCCCTCAAAAAACTAAAATCCAGTTTAAGAACAAAGTGAATGCTGTTTAAACATAATAATAGTAAATGGCTAGTAATAACATACTAACGTTGAAAACTAGTATTTCGAAATCAAGTCAGGACTGTGATGCGCTCATTCATGTTTTTTGTGTGTTTGTTTGTTGTTGTTTACAAAGTTAGAAGATGCTCTCCTTCGCTGTCCCGTTTGCAGAGCGGTCTTGGAGTTGGTGTGCGTCCTCTCTCCGTGGTTCTGGCTCTTGGGAAGGAACCAGGCGGGCTGCGGATTTGGCGCGCCCTCGTCTGCTCCCAAGTCCTTGGAAAGTGCAAGCCTCATGAGCTTTCCTGCGCCCCGCCAGGGTGCACGGACAGAAGAGGCACATCCCGTGTGTTGGGGTGGCGATCACTGTGGACATGGCGCCAGGCTCCACCCGTCCGCGCAGCCCCGGTGTTCTGCCAGGGCCCCAGATGCAGAGTAAGCGGGTCTGTGCTCCAACACCTTTGGCACCTCCTGGCCGGGGGATGCAAACGGCGGCCGTGGCTCACAGGGTGCAGGAGCAGGCGACCAGGGCACTAGGAAAGAAGCCTAGAGCAGGGCTGGTTTGTTTCCCCGCCTCCTCTGGCTCAGCTGAGGGTCCTAAGCCCGCCATGCAACAGACACAGGTACCTGCTCAGGACGCTCAGTCAGTGATGCAAGAAGCCTGAATCATGGTGCATTGTGTTTAAAAATAAACACCCACTTCCCTTGGGACCATTGGGATTTGTTCTATTTAAATTGCACAGACCGTTTCCATTCCTTGGTGTCTGAAGTATTCAGGCTGAAATCAGCCTTCCCTGCTATTTGCATGTATTTGTTTAGTGATGGAGTCACCCTACATACAACACGGGCTGCTCCTATGGCAACTGCTGCAAAACAAGATCAGGCTTCACCAGGGTAGAAAGAAGAAACCTCCCAAGAAAGCCAGGCACTAAAGTCACCGGTGTGGATGTCCTTTTAGGGCCTGGGAAAGGAGGGTGTGATGAGCAGGCATTGAAGAAAAGCCAGTATGACGACGATGTTTTCATGGTGAAACTGTGCATTTTCTACTGAACATTTTTTAAAGTATGCCCTTCTTTTTGAGTAGAAGAAAATATTGGCATTCAGAGTTAATGCTTCTTTGAAAACAGTTATGTGGAAAGGAAAGTATTCCACCTTAGCACATTTGCACACAATGGCATTATCCTTGCACCTTGTTTACATACACACACACACACACACGTCCAATGAATACACTGTAGTATCTATATGTAATTATATATCATATGTATAGTATGGAATATAATTATATAACTTTCCATTTATTTTGAAACTTTGTACTTTGGAGAAGACACTGGAAAAGACTTGCACACATTATATGCTGAAGTTTATTTATTTTATTTATGTATTTATTTATTTATTGAGACAGAGTCTCACTCTGTTGCCCAGGCTGCAGTATAGTGGCACAATCTCAGCTCACTGCAACCTCCACCTCTGGGGTTCAAGTGATTTTCCTGCCTCAGCCTCCCATGTAACTGGAATTACAGGAGCACACCATGATGCTCGGCTAAGTTTTGTATTTTTGGTAGAGAGCTAATTTTTGTATTTTTTGTATTTTTGTGTTTTAGGCGACAGAGCAAGACCTCGTCTAGGAAAAGAAAGAAAAAGAAAAGTAAAAGATACAACTCTGTCTCCAACAGGAACATTATGAATTTTATTATTGACTTCAGAGTTGAGTCCAAGAAGGAAGGTGAAGTTGCTGAAAAACCAGACTCATTTAAAAGTCAAAAGCCAAGCCAGGTGCAGTGGCTCACACCTGTAATGCCAGTACCACTTTGGGAGGCCAAGGCGGGCGGATCACCTGATGTCAGAAGTTTGAGACCAGCCTGACCAACATGGTGAAAAATCATCTCTACTAAAAATACAAGAATTAGCC